ATTGTAAACTGGTGGGACAACTTACATAATCATTGTAAACTGTTGTACATTGGCATAATCATTGTAAACTTGTGGGACACTGGTATAATCATTGTAAACTGGTGGTAAACTGACATAATCATTGTAAACTGGTGGTACACTGACATAATCATTGTAAACTGGTGGTACACTGACATTATCATTGTAAACTTGTGGTACACTGGCATAATCATCGTAAACTGGTGGTACACTGACAAAGTCATTGTGAACTGGTGGGACACTGACATAATCATTGTAAAATTGTGGTACACTGACATAATCATTGTAAACTGGTGGGACACTTACATAATCATTGTAAACTGGTGGTACATTGGCATAATCATTGTAAACTGGTGGTACACTGACATAATCATTGTAAACTGGTGGCACACTGACATAGTCATTGTAAACTTGTGGCACACTGACCTAATTATTGTAAACTGGTGGAACACACACTGACATAATCATTGTAAACTGGTGGTACACTGACATAAACATTGTAAACATGTGGTGCACTGACATAATCATTGTAAACTTGCCGTACACTGACATAATCATTGTAAACTTGTGGTAGACTGACATAATCATTGTGAATTGGTGGTACACTGACATAATCATTGTAAACTTGTGGTAGACTGACATAATCATTGTAAACTGGTGGTACATTGACATTATCTTTGACTAGAACTCCGCGAGTCGGATGTGTCGCCTTGTGAACAATGTAGTTTAGGAGAAATGGCCCGGACAAAAATGAAGTATGAAAAATAACAAAGGGCAATAACTAAAAAAATAATAAGTGCAGAGCAGCAGTTTCTGTGCACTGCACTTCTTATCAATAAGATCTATCATTCTATGATGTTTCAAGTCCATAGCTTTCATACTTGAGGAGAAATGACCTGGACAAAAATAAAGTAAGAAAATCAACAAAGGGCAATAACTCAAAAAATAAGAAATGCAGAGTATCAATTCTTATGCACTGCACTTTTTCTTAATGAGATCTATCATCCTATGAAGTTTCAAGTCCATAACTTTTATACTTTCGGAGAAATGGCCTGGACAAAAATTAAGTATGAAAATTACTAAAGGACCATAACTCAAAAAATAAGAAATGCAGAGTACCGGTTCTTGTGCACTGCACTTCTTCTTAATGAGATCTATCATCCTATGAAGTTTCAAGTCCATAGCTGTTATACTTAAGGAGAAATGGCCCGGACAAAATTAAAGTATGAAAATAAACAAAGGGCAATAACTCAAAAAATAAGAAATGCAGGGTACCTGTTCTTGTTCACTGCACTTCTTCTTAATGAGACCTATCATCCTATGAAGTTTCAAGTCCATGGCTTTTATAAATTAGGAGAAATGGCCTGGACAAAAATAAAGTATGAAAATTAACAAAGGGCAATAACTCAAAAATTAGGAAGTGCAGAGTACCGGTTCTTATGCACTGCACTTCTTCTTAATGAGATCTATCATCCTATGAAGTTTCAAGTCCATAGCTTTTTTAGTTGAAGAGAAATGGCCCGGACAAAATTAAAGTGTGAAAATTAACAAAGGGCAATAACTCAAAAAATAAAAACTGCAGAGTACCGGTTCTTGTGCACTGCACTTCGGGTTATTGAAAGAAGCATGCATACCAAGTTTGAAGTCAATGAGACTTATAGTGACTGAGTTATGCTCCGGACAAGCTTTAGGGGACGCCGACGACGACGCCAACAACGCCGCCGACAAAAGTAACCCCTATATGTCACCTTTTCAAGGCGACACAAAAACTAGTGATACACTGACATAATCATTGTAAACTTGTGGGACACTGGTATAATCATTGTAAACTGGTGGTAAACTGACATAATCATTGTAAACTGGTGGTACACTGACATAATCATTGTAAACATATGGTACACTGACATTATCATTGTAAACTTGTGGTACACTGGCATAATCATCGTAAACTGGTGGCACACTGACATAGTCATTGTGAACTGGTGGGACACTGACATAAACATTGTCAACTGGTGGTACATTGGCATAATCATTGTAAACTGGTGGTACACTGACATTATCATTGTAGACTTTCCATACACTAACATAATCATTGTAAACTGGTGGTACACTGACATAATCATTGTAAACTGGTGGCACACTGACATTATCATTGTAAACTTGTGGCACACTGACCTAATTATTGTAAACTGGTGGAACACACACTGACATAATCATTGTAAACTGGTGGTACACTGACATAAACATTGTAAACATGTGGTGCACTGACAGACATAATCATGGTAAACTTGCCGTACACTGACATAATCATTGTAAACTTGTGGTAGACTGACATAATCATTGTAAACTGGTGGTACATTGACATAATCTTTGAAAACTAGTCATACATTGACATAATCATTGTAAACTTGTGGTACACTGACATAATCATTGTAAACTTGTGGTACACTGACATAATCATTGTAAACTTGTGGTAGACTGACATTATCATTATAAACTTGTTGGACACTGGCATAATCACTGTTAAATGATTGCACACTGACATAATCATTGTAAACTGGTGGGACACTGGCATAATCATTATTAACTGGTGGGACACTAAAATAATCATAAATGTAAACTGGTTGAACACTGACATTATCATTGTAAAGTGGTGGTACACCGTAATTTTTATTGCAAATTCTGGTTGCCCTTTAGAATAATCATTGCAAGCATATTAAAAAGCCCAAACACTACTGTAATAACCATTTCAAAAACGTCAAGTAGTTGTATATATTAACTCAATTGAGGACTTTGATGTTCTTATCTATGCAATAAAACATAAGCTATATTACCTCACCATATATCAGAAGAATTTGATTTTCTTGTCACATTAGCTGTTTTTATTTTAACCATTAAAGTTAAATCTTATGATAAGATTGAAGTGTTTAAATTGAAATGCTAAAGCTCTCATACATTATGAATACAAAATTTTCATTTGTATCTATAGATTTCGTTTTTTTTCTAGACACAATTCAAGTAACCAGGAGGATTCAGAGATACCGTGAGTAATTGTGGAAAGAAATTACTTTAACAAGCTAAACAGGTGAGTTTTTTTAATTCATTTTATTTATCCAAATGTTTGTATTCAAGACTGAAGCCAGTGCGGGGAACCTTCTTTAGGAAATTTCACAGGCCTGGCAAACAAAATGTTTGTAATAATGAATAAATTTATACCTTGCATAATAATACAAAAATGCAGATTTTTTTTTCAAATGTGACATAAAATGTTTAAAAAGCTGACTTATTCAGACCTAAAGAAAGATAACCATTAGTAATGCATTCTGGCCTACAATTTCAATTTTATGCAGATCTAATATAAACAAATTGTTTGACAACTCTAGGTATATAAGTTCAGAAATGCTAGATAAGCCAAAACATTTACTGGAATGTTCAAAATTTCAGGAACTAGTATCCTGTATTATATATATAATATTGATATATACATGTATATACCATGTTTGTATTAGAAATACCAAGACTGGGTAGAAATACCAAGCCTTGGTAGAGGTCAAAGGACTTTCGAGACAACTGTCTGAATTAGAAATACCAAGACTGGGTAGAAATACCAGGACTGGGTAGAAATACCAGGACACAGTAGAAATACCAAGGCTTGGTAGAGGATATAAAACTTTTGAGACAACTATGTCTGAAGTAGAAATACCAGGACTGGGTAGAGATTAACGGACTTTTGAGACAGAGATTTAAACAAAAAGCGCAATTAACTGTAAGAGAGGATTTTCTTTTCAGAGAATGTTCATATCACATCAATGTATGAAGAGCTCTTGAACTTATTAACAATAAATTCAAAAGCTTTCATTTACTCGGTAATTTTACATAAGTTTCTTCATGATAAAGTTTTTCCACATAATTACAAAAGAGTCGGAGTTTTTCAACATCAAAGAATACAGACGGCAATGAGGTAAGTAATTTTCTGATAAATCAATCAAGGGGAGGAACTCTTCTCTCAACATTGGGATCAAATGTTAGGGTCAGTTCCCTTTTCCTTATTTAGCTGGTACATCATTAAATATATACTGTAATCATGAACATTATTAAAGAATATTAAGAGTTTAATCTATTTAATTTAATCTAACCTGTTTGATCTACATTGTTTACTATTTTGTCAGTACTTGTTTAGAAAATTTGCCTGAATGTTAAAAATGTATGTGTCTTTATTGAAAATCAAGATATTTAGCAATATGGCAAGGACAAACAATGATTAAATAACGCATCCACAAGTTTCCCAATCTTATGATTGAGTTACTTCCCATGGTTTACCATTATGTTATATATATTAAATAGACCTGTCCATTTTTCAATCTGGACAAAGACATTCATCATTTTTAGGGAGAATTTCAAGAATATGAACTGGCTGAACAGCAAACAGTGCAGACCATGATCTTGGTCTGCACTGGTAGCATGGGTAATAGGGTAAAAATATACAAAAAAATGATTAAGAAAAAAAAGTTGAGTCATACATAATATCGGTCACATAAATATCTTTAAATATGCAAAAAAAGTCCATTTTCTATGGAGACATTGTACACCTAATTTGCAAGTTAATTGAAAACACCTATCTTGTAGGAGAGGCTATCATATAACAAACTGATTACACCACATACAAGACCACTGATAACTATCCATATATTCTTATTTTTCTGGTAGGTTTTATATAACAAAAGCATCATTTAGGTCACATGGCAGTTTGCTATAACCTTAATTATGACTGTGTAGGAAGATCAAAAGTGTCCCCTTTCATTGCCATCAAGTCAAGGGAAATAACCCATACTTTTTTTAAGCAATTAAAGCTACCTTCTCATAGCTAAGCATAAATTACCTCACTAAACATTACATGTTATTTTTTAAGGAATTTAAGTACTTTCTCATTGAAATTGGGAAAGTTAGTATTAGAATGACTGACTGACTGACAGACTGACGTGCGACCGAATTGAGAAAAAGGGCCATTTCTATTGATATTTTATTTGTTTGTTTAATAATGGGCTATAATGGTCCATTCCTCTATTGTTATGGAATGAACTCTGTTGTTCTCTTTTTTTCTGTTAACAGTCAGACAGCCCCCTAATTCCCTATTCCGTATTTTGGACTGACTGATTGACTGACCCAAATTAAGACTGACTGACCGACACAAGTGTACAAACTGCACAGCAGTGGAGACTAGCCTGGCTCTAATCTGACATTATAGATTAGTGGAGTTAGTCAATCAAATGGTATAAAAAAAATTTGGAAAAAAAAATTAAATTCTTTCATATCAAAATCCACATCTGAGTCCCTTTAAACACTGTTTGCCTTTTACTGATTGCCTGAGCTCTTTAAAGGCCTCAACAGATGGTAGGATTTTGAAGTACAACACCAATTAAAACTAAGATGCAGACAGATCTTAATGTGTGAAGGCTACTATTTCTTGATTTTGGAAACCTTATGTCGAGATGTAAATAACCATGCTGAATATTGTAAGTTAACATCTTAAATAAAAACAAACACTAACTATTAAATCATATTCATTCAGAAGCAAAGTATGTAGTTTCCATATTTAACTGTATCGGATCTGTCAATGCATCTATTCAAATTTCCCAAAAGGGAAAATTATGGAAAGTTCAAACATGTGACAGGGAGCAATTTTTTCCATTTTTTCATCAAACATGTCAATTGCTTTACATTGATGCTATCTGAATGTTTTGTACATGTTATATAAAGGCCAAAACAAACAAAAAACAAGTTATGTTTTCTGGTCTTTAACCAAGAAAAAGAAATAGGTTGGTAGGTTAGGTGGGTGGGAAGCAACAAATTTCTTTTATAATTTATTTCTTATTAAACAATTCTATAATTATATTATAAAAAATATTATTTAATAAGTGGAGGGTTAGCAGCTAAAAAAAGAAGGTAACTAACTAAACTATTTCTTTGGCCTAACCTGTGTATGTAACTAGGAAAATTCATTGCATTAAAAGCATTTGATTGCAAAATTAGATATCAGTAATTATTCATAAAAAATCAACTTTGCAATTACTGAATGTACTGAGTCAACATACAATAAAATAGAAGGCTTCTATAGTTCTATATCCCTTATGAAAAAAATCCCCAACACACTATGATTGTGTTTTCAGATTATTGTCTGTGTATTTCCAGAGTGTTGACTGCATACCATAAGCCCTTAGAAGTCTATTTCCCTATTAGTACCAGTGTATTCCAGTATTGTCAGTGTGCTGGCAAAATACCATCAGCCATTTGGAAGACAATTTCCCTTTTAGTTCCAGTGTATTTCCAGTATTGTCAGTGTTGCCAAAATTGCATTAGCCCTTGGACATCTATAATCCCCTATTAATTCCAATGTATTTCCAGTTTTGTCAGTGTGTTGCCAAAACTAATGCATAGATCCCTACATGACACTGATCATTATAATTATGATGATTTGATTACAATAGAAATTTCACCATAACGGACTTGTTAACAAAAGAACACATGTCAATGCTTTGTGGTTAAATCTTTTGTTATTCAGATTAAAGGTCAGAGTAAGGATCTTAAAATGTAGGGGTTGTTTCTGGAGGGTGCAGGGGTGCTTTGGCTGAAGTAACACAGAAAAGAGTAATCTACATGTTTTCTGCTATCTTATGATAGTGTGGGAAAAGTGATTGTTGCATTATTAAACCGCAATATAGCGACAATTATTATGATATCAAATATTTTTTCAAATCCCTTGATTTTGCAAATTCTCAAGCAACATTATAATTGTCAACCAAAGTGGTGCAGACTGCAGAAAGTTATATTTACTTGCATGTCCACAGACCTTGAGATTTTTATGGCAGATTAACAGTATTTCGCTTCACTAATTCAGTCAAAATTCTGTTTTGCACCATCAAACTTTGCCAATGAAAATATCTTTCTATTTAGTTGTGATGAATATTATTCAACAAGTAATGGGATTATATGGTTATATCGTTTCAATAAAACGTTTGAAAAATAAGATGCATTGGCAGGTAGAGATGCATTACATAACTTATGATGCAAATTATCAAAATTATGCAAACTTTTGTATAATGATGGATAGCAGTTATATTAATGCATTCCCGAAACTTTCACATATTTTTGTTTTATGTTTTCTTATATAGCTTGTATCCTTGTGGCAGCCACTGAGAAATCTACCCATGCTAGGTCTGTCTGCGCATTAGTTATTACCTCAGTGCAGTAAAAGGTTAAGACCTTCTAAATTTAATAGGACTTAACCAGTTATTGCACTATGGTGACAATCTGTTCTATCTGATCATGGTCTGCACTGTTTAATTGCTATTCAGTCAGTTGACTGATTCTATTTTAAATTTTTATTAATGATTTTGTCCGAATTGAAATATGAACAAGTCCATTTACGCTTTTGGTGAAGCATTAGGTTTTAGTGTAAACAAAAAATACAACAACATAAGTTCACAATTAAAGGGATATAATTCAGTCAAAATCTATGTTCTATAATAATTGTTCTCAACGAAACTCCACTCACGGTCCAATAGACTAAAAACATAAGATATAAAATCTTTAAACAAAATTAATACATGAAACAGATAATAGAGGAATTTACTCAGAATTGAATTGAAAATAGATATTTATTATGACGGAACATTTTTGTTTCTAGCTGGTCATTAAATTGCACAATTACAGTAAAGACTGTCTTAGCGACCCCCTGTATATAGCGACGTTCTGTCTTTAGTGACCATAGTTAGGTGCGCCGAACAGTATTTACTATATAAATGGTCTGTATGTAGCGACTCCCTGTCTAGTCCGTACAACGACCATGATTTAGTCACCCGTTACGGTATTTGAGCCGTGAACAGCGACTTTTGCAAGGGGAGCAAGGCTTGAACTAGGTGATGACATTGGCGAAGAAGTCACCTTCGGATCAGCGACTTTGCCTAAAACAAACTTCAAATAGATTTTGAAGTCGCCCGATTTTTATAATTTTCCGTCATACTTATTTACGCCGCTAGGTCTGTTAATAATTTGTTTACCTCTCAATTACAACCAATTACCGTTAATCCGCTAATTAAGAACGCGTGTCAACATCAACAAAGTTAAATACACGCCGCAAGGCAAGAGTTCACTATGTTTATCTTTCTTATTACGTATTCATGCGATTGACGAATCAGAACGCGCGTTGTATCTACGGCAGTTTGCATTGACCAATCGGCGACACGCTAATACACTGTGGCTGTTTGTTGACAATTATACAAAATGGCGACAGATTCAATCAATTTTCGCCGATAGAATGATTAAAGACACCTGCATATACATAATTGCTGCGGTGTTTTGGCGAGTAAATATAAACAATGCCAAACGTCTTAAAGGTGTGGTTATGTTTGAAACCTCGATTGTTAATTTTTTTTGGAGCACTTATCTGTAGAAATTATGTGAAGATTTGTAATTTTTTTTTATTATTTTTGTTTTATTAATACATTGAACTCCGTAAAGTAAACAGGCTGATTATACAAAATTAAATGTCTCTACAGTAACATCTCATTAGTAAAATTGAAATTAAACATTTTTTTACAAACAGATTTATCAATATGAATTACATTTTAATGAATATGTAACTTTTAAATACTAATGTTATGGTGTAGATTATAATCTTAACCAATAATACATGCACTTTTAATATTCTCTTGTTTTTTATAAATGATATTTGATATGTTTAATATCAATAAAAATATAATTAAACCCTTAGTATGGTACTATCCTGCTTTTCAACAAAATATTGGTATGATATGTTCATATATCCGAATTATGTAGAGACTGTCCACAGTGACTCCCTGTCTATAATGACCTTTTTTCTTTTCTCCCATCGAAGGTCACTGTAAACAGTCTTTACTGTAAATGAAAATGATTAATTAAGCGAATAATCTGAAATTTTGCACCTAAGTTATTGGTATAGACCTACAAAATCTTGAAAAAACCGGTCATATCCAGTCCCACACATGTCTCAAAAATTGTTAGTTATTTTTGAAACCTTTTAAACTTTACTATAGAGATGAAAATAAAAAGAATTTAAGCTCTGAGCAAAGAAAAAGTTTGTCATACATCTTAGCTCTAATGTATATACACATATCCTAGAGACGATTTTTCTTTTGATAAACAATCAAAGTTAAGACCTTATTTCAAAGGACACTATAGTATGTCATTGACTATAAAAAACAATAAAATGCCCATTTATCTACCTGTACTAAAGGTTAGATGACAGATTATTTTAAGGACATCACTTGGGTAACTT